TCTCAACTCAAAACGGTCTCGAACGTTTGAGTTTTTCTTGTTTTTTTTTTTTTTTTTTTTTTTGAGATCCTCTTCAGTGCCTTATTTATTGGAGGACGATTTGTGAGCTCGTCGGCTGAAACTGGAAAGAAGAAGCAGGTTTTTTTGGTTCCACCTGAAATTTCATATAAGACATCTTTTAGTCCTCGCGTGTCATTTATCTTCCATCGACCAGACCACTTTTTTTGCTCTGTTGACCACAATGTACCAAGAATATTTCTCTTCCATGCATATCTAATGTCCTTCTGTCGCTGTTATGCTCTGTCTTGTATATTCCTCTGTGTTCCGATACATTTTTGTACTTGTATTATTGATAACAAAGTTTCCTTTATCTTATTTTAAAGAAATAAAGATTGAAGTTTTAAATATTTATCCCATCACTTCCACTATTTCACATTAAGAGTCCTGCTTAAACTGTTGTTTTCTCTCATTAATTCACCTCACAGCATGGTGGGGGGAGGAGTGCAGGGGACTTTATTCAGATTAAAAGACCAGGCTTTAGATCATTTTCTGCTGCACTGGATCCCCACAGCATTTAATCGCAGGTGTAATTTACTCACTCGAGCTCTTAAGTTGTCATTAAGCCATTCCTCGATTACCTTGTGGGATCAATATGGCTCTCTACATGGTCAGTGCATAGCTGATTAGCACTAATTACTTGGGGGGGCATGAGTTCCTCCGTTGGTGAGGAGTGTAGTAAAGGAGTTGTAAGCTCCAAAGTAGACGGCCACACTTTAGGAAGTTCAGTCCAAAGAATCTAAATAATCAGCAAAGTAAGTTTTTACTAGTTCTAAAAAAAAACTTTTTTAGCTTCAAAACAAACCTTATGACATTTTACCATTCAACCTAAAGTAATTGCTTTAAATGTTTGTGCGATTTTCAAAATGGCGACTTGGATCATCGCTCCTCGAAATGGCACCCGCTGTCGCCCATCCTCCATGGTTTCCATCCAGCGCCACACACACACACACACACACACACACCCATGACGCCCTTAACTGCCACTCTTTCGCAAGCTTTAACCCTCCGCCATCTCATAATTTGAAATCTCCTCATTCCTCATGTTTCTTTTCCTGCCTGCTTCTGTTCTCCTGGGGGGAAAAAAAAAACAAAAAAAAAAAACTGCAAGAGAAGCAGCTGCAGCTCAGCTCTGCACCAACTGGGGCTCGCCGCCTCTCCTGCGTGCCACCCAGCAGTCGTCTCGTTGGCAGCCACCCAGCGCTTCGCCGCCTGCTTTAATGACATTCATTAATGAGGTGCATGCTTTATGGGTACTAATGAAGTTGGCATCTCCAAGACAGACACAAACAGTTTGTTTAACACAGGCTGCGCACGTGTGGAGTTGTTGAAGGCTGGATATGCAACGCCTTGACATTTCGCCACAAACGTGTTTTATTCTGGTTTTATATCAAAATAAAACGTATGGGGGGAAAAAATGGATACATGTTTTTTTTTTCTGAATAAAATCTGGAAATATTGGCATGTATCGCCTTCATTCTGCTGCTGTTAAATGAAATCTAGTCCAAACATAGAAGTCACTTTAATTATTAAATGGAATCAACCAGTTCTGTGAAAACCTTTGAGGTTTGTTAGACAACATTAGAAGAAGGCAGCTGCTGTGCTGTTTTCTACCAGAAGACATCTTCACGAAGACCAAGGAACACTGCAGACAGGCCAGGGAGGAAGTTGGCAGAGTATCTAAGCTAACACATGGTCCCAGTCTATTAAGACTTGGCCTAAACTGATGGAGAACGGTAATCTGACAAGCAGCCAAAAGCTCGGAGCTAAGGTTTCATTTGGACGAATCTGTGAACAGAACAACTGTTAGCCATGCACTCGTTAAATCTGGCCCTTATGGAAGATGTTCCTGCTTGTAGTTTGTTGTTAGCCCTGTAGGGGTCAGAGTAAACATGTGGAAGAAGCTGCTCAGCTCAGATGAGAACTTTTACCTCTGTGGCACACAGTGCCTTACCCTGAATAAAAACTCCCTCCAGTGACACACGGCAGCATCGTCCTGTGGGGAGGATGTTCCTCAGAATCGGCTTTATTCGCCAAGTTTGCGCACGCAAACTAGGAGGCTGACTTCAGTTCTACTTTACACCTGTAAGCACTGAAGGTCCAAGGCGGTCCCGTAGAAAAACCTGCAGGAAACATGAGACTAGGACAGCAAACCTTTAGCATACAGCCTGAGGTAGAACAGTATGTGTGTTGAAATGGCCCAGTCAAAGTCTCAGCCTTAAACCAGTTGAGAATGTGTGGTAAAGCGCAACGTCTGATGCTCACAGATGCTCCTCATCCAGTCTGAGCGACCAGCAGCAAAAACCTTCAGCTCCTAGATGTGCAAGAAGCAAAACCCAAAAGACCTGCAGCCGTTGTCACAGCGAAGAGGGCTTCTAAACAAAGTATTTACGCAGGAATTCAGCAGAAGGATTTTTTTTTGTTCATGTTAAAAAGAAAATTAAAGGTTTAATTGCCTTTTCTTTTCATCAGTATTAGCTTGAGTTCATCGTAACGCATTGCACCCCATTGCCACATCTTGTTAATGCGTCTGCCCATCTTATCTGCATAGAGACGATGCGCTACCAATTAACATCTGTTTGTACGATGAGAACGATATAGCATCACATCATGTTTTTCCCTTTTTTTTAATAATTAGCCAGCCTGATTGGAAAATCACTGGAGTTATCAGTTTCTCTGAGAAGCTCTGTCGGTGTTTTGCATGTATTTGCATATCTGCTGCTCTCCTCTGCTGCACGGGCATAAGGTGGTGTTGCCCTCATTTGTCTCATCCCTCCCTAGTTTGCTGCTTCTCCTCTCCTTTGTTGGCACACTCTCTCCTTCTCCAGCCGAACCCCCTCGTCCCGCCCTGCCTGCCACCCCTCCTCTGTCTCCTTCTCTCTCTCTCCGAAGTCGGTTTCCTGTCTTGCTCTTGGCTCTTCGCCAGCCTCTCAGACATGCGTTGCGGAAAGGGGCTGAAGACCATATGCAAATCATTCAACTTTATGGAGATCAGCCCCGCTGTTAATTAAAAGTCAGCTGCAGATTCAATTAGCTGTCTGAAAAGGGAGGGTTGAAATGGGATTCTTTGGATAGATGTTGAGTAGATTGGATTGAAAAATTCCCATAAAAGAGCGCCGACGAGGTTGGGAAAGGCAAAGCTCTCCCTGTTGGATGAAGGGTTCAAAGGACTGGACACTTTCAAACATCTGTAATCTGGGAAAGCACTAATTGTGTGTGTCATGCAATACGCTGATAGTCATGACAGAGATTGTGTTGCTCACTGCTGGAAAGCAGAATATGCCATCCATTGTGGGGGAAAATATTGCCATTAGGCGATCGTTTAAAGCGAACACGTCTGTCGGTGAACCGTGGAATGAAAAGAAAAAAAATTAAACATTCTTGGTTTCCATCAAATCTCTTAACTTTTTTTTTTTTTTTTGGTTTCAGAATTGCAAAGCTGATTCTATCATAATGACAAATATTCAGCAATGCGCAGATATTGAACAACAGCACCGCAAATCACTCTGAGAGACGCGTTGAGCCGGAAGCATCTCCTAATAGAGGGATGCTGATGGAGGATCAGCGGTGAAAAATCATCTCTTCCTGTCAGCAGACGGCGAGCAGAGGTGATGAACGGCGGCGAGTTGGAGACGTGAGGAGCATGAAAGGAGCCGGGCGGGGGGAAGAGATCTGAAGGAAGAGGGAAGAGAGGGGACTGGTGGGATTTCTTTTTGCGTACAGAGGTGTGAAACTTTCAGAAATGATTAAATTCACACTTAAACCTTGTTTCGTATAAAGATTCTGCTCAATTATTAAGTTTGTTCTTTAACCAAACTTCAATTTTTTTTTTCCTCTTATCTACATTCAATTAGACTGGCTCTGTTGCTATCTGGAGTGTATGTACAAGCATATTCCTGGTAGCAAAAGAGCTGTGTAAAAATGACCAATTAGATTACAACATCCAGGCTGCTGCTGTGACTGAATGACAAAGCAGGATGATATTTGCAAAAGCTTCCTTATGCAGACTAGGTAGCTTCAAATGAAGAATGTCATGTTGAATATAAGACAGTACAGATGAGTATCTTAAGCCGGAGAAAGTATATTTTATTGGAAGTGTTAGATTAAAGGCAGTAGAAGTGCTTTCAGTATTACAATCAAGGATACAGCTTTTGTTATCCACCAATTTTATACTGAAAATCTCATCGTAACACTTTAATTTATCTTCAGAACTGTCATGCAAGCCAGTGTAGATGCATTCTGAATCCTCATACGAGTGAAAATAAAATCACTTCCATGTCGTTATCAGTCTCTGAAATGATCTAAATCAAATCTTAAGTGTTATTTATTAAGCAGAGAAGGAACCGAGTTGGAAACGGCTGTGTCTTTCTGTCATGACTCAACAGGAGGGCCTGATGCTCTTCACTAAGGAGATGGCGTCACAAGCAAAGAACGTTGTGATGAAATATTGAAGCAACAGCTCAAGATATGAGACAGGTTATCATCACGGAGAGATGGATTGTGGGTAGAGCTAAAAAAAAAAAAAAAAAAAACGGTGTGTGAGAGCAAGCAAGGCAGCTCACGAATCTAAAACGGTTACACCAAACCTGTCAGGAGGAACTGGTCAAAATCTGCATGACACTAAACATCCGAGGCTTTTCGCCTCAGAAAAACCATCCAAACCAAAGAGTGTTGCCATCACAACCTGATGGCTCATATGTTTTCTAGCTGACCAGTCAGTGGTTAAGGTTAATATTCCCCAAATTGGTCACTGACTGATTTTTTTAAACATAACAAATTAAGCCAGAATTGATTAAAATCTTTGGTTGTTGGTCTTTTAGCCTTAAGATGCAGGACACACAAAATCAGTGCTGAAAATGCGAACCTAGTTTGTTTCTAATAAGCTCATCTGTCATGAATGTTTGAGAAAAGCACATCGTCTGAATGCTGAGCTAAATCCACACCGAGAGATCAAATTAATGTGGAGAAAATATCCTTAAAGCGCAGACTGGGGTTTGATTTCAGGCTCTCAATGTCCAAATTGGAGATAAGACGAACAGCAGTGAAAAAGTCAAGCTTAAGGTTGCAAAGTGATTAAGAATTAGGCTAAACATGATGCCATTCAGAGTGGTAAGCAAAAAAAAAAAAAAAAAAAAACCTTAAGGAAGTCATCAATTATTTTTTGTGATGCATGCACATTGGTTTCAGTGGCGATGGAAACGATAGATGTGCAGATGCAGAGATACGGTGATGGAAAAGCACTAATTACCCCGAAACCCATCCCTCAAGTTGCTAATAGTGAGGAAAAAGTAGATCACATGCTAAAAATAAAGCAGGAACACTTCAGGTGATAAAACCCTTGCCAGGAAAATTGA